AGTCGGTTGATGGCGCAACTGACAACAGTCGAGATGAAACCAGGCGAAAAAGGAATGGCGTATATCAGCCGCTGTCGCGAATTGCGCGACAAACTCCTTCGATGCGGAGGGTCGATATCTGAAGAAGCCTTCGTCACAGTTGTCATCACTGGACTTGGTCCTCATTGGCGGTCCACTCGCGCCATACTCCGAGCTCACGGGAAGATCTCCGAAGCAGCACTTTGCGCCGAAATTCACGCCGAGCAGCAAGACATGGACCTGCAAGAAGAACGGCACAAGAAGAAAACATCAGTACCAGAATTCGCGTTTCACACTCAACGGCGGTACAACAACAACAACAACCGGCATCAACCAAAACCTGTACCTCCTTCTTGTCATCTCTGCAAGACGTCAGGACATCCGCGCACACACTGCCCGACTCGACAACAGTCAACACCGCCACAGCGACAGCTTCGACCTTCAAGCAGTCAAGTCGCCTCAACGCAGGCGAACTCCACCGCTCAAGTCCAAACGACATCAACGGGACAACCTGCACAAGGAGCAAGAAACATCATCAGCTGCATGGCGAGACTCTCCGACTCTTGTATCACCGGATCACCACCAACATACTCACCCGAAGGACTTCTTGACGAAAGGACGCCGCGCCGCGAGACACTGGAACCGAATCCAACGTACGCAGCTATCGCCCAAAGTGAGCCATCCGGGAAGGACACCTGGTTCTTGGACAGCTGCTGCGGACAACATATGTGCTCTTCGGGTCGCTTCGTTCAACGCGAACACCAACTCCAACGAGACGTCGTTATCACCGTTGCCAACAACCAGAACCTGCACACACGACGACAAGGCGTAGTGCAACTTCAGTCACGAGAAACAAACGTCATACTACAGATGTCCAAGGTTTTAATAGCAGAAGGGCTCGGATACAACTTACTGAGCGTCAGTCAATTGATGGCGAAAGGAATCCACCTCGAAGCAGACAGCACAACACAGGAGTTCAAGCTGTACCACGGGAAGGGTGGCCTCTACATCGGCAAGGCAGTACTGAAGAACAACGTGTTCGTCCTCGACTTCGTTCCAGACCTCGGCACCACTGACAGCGACGGAATCGTCACCTTCACCTCCTGGACGCACCCACCAGATCTCGATCCAGACTTCAGCCTCGGAGGTTTCTGGTATTCGCACACCATTCCTGAAGCAGAACGAACAAGAGCGTTAGCAACGATTCAACATTCGGCAGCAGCAGAGACAACAACGGCAGCAGCAGAGACAACATCGGCAGCAGCAGAGACAACAACGGCAGCAGCAGAGACAACAACGGCAGCAGCAGAGACAACATCGGCACCAATCGCGGGTTCTTCAACTGCACCAGCCCCAATCAACGACGACACCCCACCAACTCCTGCACAGCAACTGAATCCAACACCTCGCGAAGTACATCGAAGCGCAAACTTCACCGCCAGCTTCTACTCCAACTCCGACGAATACCGACGCTCACCCGGACATCGCGCTGACGAAGATCTCTGGCACAAGCGACTGGGACATCCAAGCAACACGACGATAAACAACACGATACGAGCAGGCGTTCTTGACAAAGATTCACTTCTCTTACCCGACGGCAGAGAACTTCGACGCATGAGAGGAACTTGCTTCACCTGTCCAGAAGCTGACTTACCGCATCAGCCCTTCGTCTCTCACCACAACCCGAGCGCACCCGCTTACGCACCACTCGAGAAAGTATACAGCGACATCCTGTATAATCGCGAACCCGGACAAGAAGCATACAACTACACCATCACGTTCATCGACGCCGCCACGCGCTATGTCTGGCACCTCAACCTTATAAGCCGCGACATGGCCTTCCAAGCTTTCGTCGCATGGCTTCCAGTAGCAGAACGAGAATCAGGCGTAAAACTAAAGAGCTTCCAGTCAGATGGAGCAGGAGAATACACGTCCCAGCAGTTCAAGGATTACCTGGCGGAACGAGGAATCAAGCGGCTCATCTCTCTACCCTACGCACATCAACAGCAGGGTGTAGCAGAACGAATGAACAGGACCCTTCAAAACACCATGCGCAAGCTGCTACGTGGCATGCGGCTACCCAACCACCAGTGGCCCGAAGCAATGGACCACGCCGTCATGCTGCACAACTTGCTCTCGTCATCATCGCTCCCGAACAACGCATCACCGCATCTGCTGTGGACAGGAAAACAGGGCAGCACCAAAATGTTACGAAATTTCGGCTGCATGGTACAGTACCGACCTCCATCTGCACGCGCCGGCCGTTTCTCACAACGGGCACAGTGGGGACTACACCTGGGCATCGAAAAGCACTACAACGCGTGGAAGATTTTTGACGTCCACTCAAAGGAAACAGTGGCAGCACCTGACGTCATTTTCTACGAACGACTCACTCTTTCGTCGTACCTGTACAACTTGGAGACCTCACGAGATGTCACAGGTGGATTTCGCGGGGACCGAGTCTTCGCTTCGGCAGAAGACGAAGCTGACCTGGACGAGCAAAACGTGGAAGGAGCCTCGGAGGAAGCCGGACCTCTCCCCTACTGCTCGGTTGATGTTCCGATGGACGACGAAAATCCACGCGACAGCATCAACGCCGAAGTGTACTATCACTTCGCCGACAATGGTTACGTTACACCTGCACAAGTCAACACCGACGAAGCAGAACGCGTAGGACCAGATTTCAACCCAACACCAGAAGCGGGAGACGAAGCAGTTTATCCCGAGGACATAACACTTCCCCGCTACACACAGAGTGGCCTTCAAATCCTTGGCCTCGTCACCGCGGTTCACGGCGCAACCATTCCTAAGGAGCCTGCTACAGTTCAGCAGGCTCTGGGGGGGGAGCATAAGGAAAAATGGCGCGAAGCCATGGACAAGGCTGAAAGCACTGGAAGAACGGAACACCTGGAAAGTTGTTCCCATCGGCGTCGCACGAAACAAGACAGTACTCACCGGGAAATGGGTCTTCCGTGTGAAGACAAAGGCAGATGGCACCATCGACAAGTTTAAAGCACGCTGGGTCGTACGCGGCTTCGACCAAGAACACGGACGCGACTTCACCGAAACATTTGCGCCAGCCAGCCGACACACCTCGCTGCGAATTCTCCTCGCCATCGCCGCCATGAAGAAGAAGAAGCTGCGGCAAATCGATGTCGCCAACGCATTTCTCTACGCACCTGTTGACGCAGAAATCTTCGTCGAGCTACCGCACGGGTCCAACGGAGAACCTAAACAAGTCTGTCAGCTGTTGAAGTCACTCTATGGCATCAAACAAGCCCCGAGACTGTGGCAGCAGTATCTCCACGCCCGACTCATTCGCATCGGATTCCGCCAGCTACCTCACGACCAAGGCATGTACCGGCTCACCAAGGGCACTGACTACATCCTGCTGATCGTCTACGTAGACAATTTACTCTACATCGGCTCAACCGACGGGTTCACCACCTGGTTCGAAGGGGAGCTGCAGCAAGACCTCACGCTCATAGTCTCATCCACCGTCACGCAATACCTCGGCCTCAACATTCAGGAAGAAGAAGACGCAATCTACCTCAGCGCCACGAAGTACGCCGACACCATCGCTAAACGCTTCGCTCTCACGCCGACCACCATCTCCACGCCATATCGCTACGCGGCAGGAAACAACAAGGAAGGAACTACTCTACTAAAGCCCGCCGGTATACGCGATTACCAGAGAAAGCTGGGCTGCCTTCTCTTCGCAGCCGTCACCTGCCGTCCGGATCTGTCGTACTCTGCAAGTCAGCTCACTACCTACCTCAAGAAACCTGAAGCGGATCACATGGCGGAGCTCAACCGCGCTCTTCACTACCTCGTCAGCACTCCGACGATCGGCCTGACTTATCACAAGAACGGGACTACAACACCTAAGTTAATCGGCTACGTCGACGCCGATCACGCTGGCGATTCCGACAACAGGCGTTCTCGCACTGGCTACATCTACCGCCTCGAACCTATCGGACCTATCTCTTGGCAGTCGAGCAAGCAGGAATTAACTGCCCTCTCGTCAGTTGAAGCAGAATATATCGCACTCTGCTCAGCCACCAAGGAAGGACTTTACCTTCGCGAACTGCTGGAAGAAGCGAAGCTGGCTCAGTTACCCAGCTTCACTCTGTTCTGCGACAACCAGTCGGCAATTCGCATTGCCAACAAGAACGGCTTCGCGAACAGGACAAAACATATCGCCCTGCGATACTTCTTCGTGAAGGACGAGATCGAGAAGGGGAGACTCGAGTTGTCATACTGCCCCACGACCGAGATGGCAGCTGACTACTTGACCAAGAAGCTCGGGAAGCAGAAGTTTGCGTACTACATGCTGCTGACTGGACAGAGCCACGTCACCAGCAGCGACACTCCAGAAGCGAAGGGGAGTGTTGGAAACAATCAGTCTTAAGCGCCTCTGTCGTGTCGAAACACCAAGACACAAGCGAAGCAAAGCATATCGAGGCACCAGCGAGTCAACCCTCGGAGGTTGAAGTAACCGCTGGAGGTTACGCGAAAGTCAAAGGTCAGCGACCTTTGACCTGACAAATACAGCGCGACAGCAAGGACACACAACTGACTCGCTACAGAGCAGTTGCCCGAGTCGTCACTGTATCGAACCGCAACAGCAACAGTAAAGTAGTTACAACCGTGTCTCTTCGTATTCCTTGTACTCTTATATAATCTTGTATCTCTTTGCTTTAATCAATCTACTTTGCCCTCACATACTAGCGCAAGGTGGTTCAAGTACTTCTCATTAAGCTTCCGCTAATTACAACAAGTCCTACCCAGAGTTCACTCCTGCAAAGATCCTAAGGGCTTTTCTCAGCCCAACAGTACTAAATAAAAACTGAAGAGCTGGGATTGTGATTGATATGAGATAGGATTTCTACGTAATGTAAGGCCCCCAAGGGTGGTACCCTATTGGTGATGAGTAAGCTATGCTGGTGTCAGTGTGCCACAGTAACCTGGATCCCTGGCCATCAGATCCCCAGCCATTCCCAAGATGGGTGCGAGGGGTAGGGGGAAGGAAGCACGGGGGAAGATGGGTGAGAGGGGCAGGGGGAAGGAGGCACGGGGGAAGATGGGTGTGAGGGGTAGGGCGGAAAGAGGGAGGGGGGAAGATGGGTGTGAGGGGTAGGGCGGAAAGAGGGAGGGGGGAAGATGGGTGTGAGGGGTAGGGCGGAAAGAGGCAAGGGGGAAGATGGGTGTGAGAGGTAGGGCGGAAAGAGGCAAGGGGGAAGATGTGTGTGAGGGGCAGGGGGGAGGAGGCAAGGGGGAAGATGGGTGTGAGGGGTAGGGGGGAAAGAGGCAGGGGGGAAGATGGGTGTGAGGGGCAGGGGGGAAGGAGGAAAGGGGGGAAATGGGTGTGAGGGGCAGGAGGGGAGGAGGCAAGGGGGGAAATGGGTGTGAGGGGCAGAGGGGGAGGAGGCAAGGGGGACGATGGTTGTAAGGGGCAGGGGGGAAGCAGGGAAGATAAGGGGGAAGATGGGTGTGAGGGGCAGGGGAAAGAAGGCAAGGGGAAAAATGGGTGTGAGGGGCAGGGCGGAAAGAGGCAAGGGGGAAGATGGGTGTGACGGGTAGGAGGGAAAGAGGCAAGGCGGAAGATGGGTGTGAGGGGTAGGGCGGAAAGAGGCAAGGGGAAAGGAGGCAAAGGGGAAGGACGCAAAGGGGAAGATGGGTGTGAGGGGTAGGGGGAAGATGGGTGTGAGGGGTAGGGGGAAGATGGGTGTGAGGGGTAGGGGGAAGGAGGCAAGGGAGAAGAAGGGTGTGAGGGGCAGGGGGGAAGGAGGTCGGAGCTTGGACCTGCAGCATAATTCATATCGTTGTTGTAACGGGGGTGATGGGGGGTAGGGGGGGGGAGGGGGGGAGTATTTACAAGGATGGAAGATCAGCGTCAGGCATAACTAATGATTGAAATACGAGGCGTACACCCGACTACGGAAACACAAACCCAAGATCTGTAGTACTGTACAGTAACCCTACACCCTGATACGCCTATCGCTCCAAAAACACGCACCGAATCCAAGGCCTCCGTGTGGTAACCCTGAAACCTGACACGTGCAACGAATTCATAAAACGCCACTTTGGAATCATCAATCCAAGGCCTTCAGTGCCGTAACCCTACACCCTGATATGCCTATTCCTGAGCTGCGCCCAAAACAAGCACCGAATTCAAGGCCTCCGTGTGGTAACCCTGAACCCTCACACCTGTTATCAGGCCTTGAAGGCTAGGGATGCGTGTTTCCGTCAAGTGTTTAAAGCCCACCCGGGGCATTAGACCCGCGGTTATAGCGGCGCTTAGCTCGGGTTTAGTAGTGCTTGCCTCCGTCATGTGTTTAAAGCCCGTCTAATCCTGTACCCACGCTTCCCTTCCCTCGGTCATGTGCTAGCCCATCTCCACCCACTTGTTTCTCCACCCCTTCCTCCCCGTCCTCTCACTCCTCTCCCTCCCATTCCCTCCCCCTCCTCCTCGCTCCCCTCTTCCTCGTCCCCATCCCTCTCCTCCTCCTCCTTCATCTCCATAATCTCCTCTTCTCTATCCTCTTCTTCCGCAGCTAATCCTCACGCGCTACTTTCAACCCCCTCATTTCCATCTTCTTCCCTCCCTTCACCATTCCACCGCCGCCAGACATCTCTTGGGCATTTCCGGGCGTTTAACCCCTCGGCGATACGCACTAGTAGCTCGCTAATCGCGATACCTAAAATGTCTCGCACTACCAGTAATCGTTGAGAACTTGTCTGGACTAAACGTCGGCTATCTTTCCCCCGGGAACGGAAATGATGGTAGCACGGAAGGCGGCAGAGACTGGCAAAGAATCGACGAGGCGTGCGTGATGCTGTGCACGTGGTCGTCGCAAGTCCGGGAAAAATCACGGCGCGAGTAGCGCGAGGGGACAGAAAACCCTAAAGTCGGCGCGTGTTCAGGATTGGTCGCCGCGACCAACGCGATCAGAGTCTAGAGAAGCCCTGCATTATCAGTCAGCCCAAGCGCAAGGCTAGAACGCCTGATTCGGGAAGTTTTGGTAAGGGCGTGGAACACCTGCTAGGGTTTTAGCGACGATCCTACGGAACAGTTGCGTTCTTACGAACAGTAGTGCGATCTTACGCAGCAGTGTCGTACACAGTAACAATTGTTATCTGTGCTAGCCAATCACAAACATCGAAATCATTACTGGACAGAAGTAGGTAGGACACTGTTCTGTAGGATCGCCAACATCTCTTACGATCTCCAACTGTTCCGTAGGATCGTTGCTAAACCCTAATTCGGTGTACCACCCTCTAAGGACGGATTTTGCGTGGAATGGGGAAAACCCGCATTCCAGACTCCATACTGTTCCTGAGTTGAGGGCGAGTTCTTTTGCTTCAGGTCAGGCGCGGAACATCTCAGTTCAAGCGCCGTTCGAGGCCTGAAAGTTCAAAATTACCGCATTTCACCATGTATCACCGCTCTTTTAAATATTCTGTGATTTTTTTCACAGGTTGTTCAAAGGACCGCCCTTACGCCAATGTCCATCGCCACAAATCCCCACTTGAACCAGTCTCTCCATCGCAGTGATTCCACTGGCAAGGCAATCCCTAGGGTTCGTTTTGTTCCTTCTCGTACTGCTGCTACCACTAGCAAACCCACTAGGTCATTTTCATGGCACCAATTGAAACCCACACTCGGGTTCAAGTTAGCGTCGGATGAAGCACTTACAACCGAGTCGACAGCACATGTTCATGTCGCTAGTGTTGCCTGGCACCACCCCTGCCAACGGCGTTGAGGGGGTTCTCCACTGATGGATTATTAGCGCGCTTCGAGAGCGGCAACTCTGATCCATATGCAACCGCGTGGCGGTCACCGCTATGGGCGATCGATTAGCCCACGTAGAGGGATTCAAAAGCGGACATTTACTAGTCCAATATCATCCAGCCTTTCTGATACATTGTTTGCTGCAACGTTCTCTCGTCCATAGTATTGTGCCTCGCGAACCTCACTGAAGTACCTTCGGCGGCAAGTCCAAATTAATCGACATTATGAGGACTCCCATCAAGCTCCTGGTTGTGGCGATTCTAGCCGTCCTCCTCGTCTCTGCTGGTGAGCTCGCGCGCTTAGACCAGAGAAACCGACAATCCTCACGCTGGCTTCTGTTCTGACCTGTCGTGTGAAACTTCTGTCTGTTCTTATCCTTACGCTTCAGGACAGTCGTTGTTGCTTTGAGTTGCTGCTCTGTCGCCGTTCTGCTACTTACACTCGCCCTTTTATTTTCTCTCGTCTTCCAGCTGTTCCGAGTATGGCTCGTTGTTCAGGAAAGTTGAGGAAGGTGGTAAAGACGGACACGTGCTCGGGCTTAATATTGACGTATTACAAGAAACAGGCTCAGTTGTTTCAGAAGTACAACGGCTACAAATGTGCTGAGCCCCTTAAGGTCGGCTCTACCCTCTGTATGCCGAAATAGATCTGGGTATATACAATAATGTCGAGAGGGCCTTGCACAATAACTGCCTTCAGCAGCTGGGCCTTCAAGGTGGTAGACGTGTACTGCTTGTGTGTAATCTACGGATAGTAAACTGCAGCTGGCCACAGTTACTTAAAGCCATTTCTTCAATCCCTGCCTCCCTCGCACACCGCGCATCCCTCACCGCCTTCCCTGCCGACTCTGCCGTCTTCTCCTTCTTATTCTCTGCCTTCCCCGCCTTATCTCCCTCCTCCTTACTCCCCTGCTTGCTTTTCTTCACCTTCGTGGAATGTCCTACGGGGAAGCCTTCTTGTCGATCATCTCCGCCTTCCTGCCAATCCCGCCAATCCCGCCAATCCTGCCAATCCTGCCAATCCTGCCGCTGCCTTCTCCCCTTCTCCCTTCTCCTTCCGCTTCCGCGTCTTGCTCTCTGAACCCTGCTCTTCCTGCTTCCTGCTCCCCATGCTCTTCTTCGCTGCCTTCCTCGTCCACGTCCTCCTCCTCATCCGCACTCGTCAACCTTATCGTCCTCTTCCTCCTCCTCGTCCCCCTCGTCGTCATCATCTTCCCCTCCCTCCATTTCCTCCGCTTGTTCTTCCTCCCCCTTCTCCCCCTGCCCCCCCTCCTTTCCCCCCCCCTCAGCACTCCCCTCACCTCTTCCTCTTCCCATCACTCCCCTCCCCCCTCCTCGTCCAGTGCCATAATCTCCCTTTCTCTCTTTTCCTCCACCTCCACTTCAAACCCCTCCGGTTCCTCAAGGGCTACCTTCAACTCCCTACAACTTCTTCTTTCCATCATTAACCATTCCACCCTCGCCACCCTTTCCAAGCCCATCAAAGCATTTAGTCCTTCGCTACAAGCTAAATCGCAATGGCGCAATGGTAGCCAAGCCAAGCGGCTGTCTAAATAAATTTCCTGAAAATCAGCAAAGAAGAACATGATTATATACCTGAAGGTTCACCCAAATGCAACTGTACATGTACCTCTATAATGGAATACTTAAACCATAAATTGCTTCACATACGGTATTCACCAGCAAGTTAACCAGTTCCAAGATAATGACATCTGTTTGTGTTGTGAATGTTACAGCTTTATCGAGCGCCACTGTACCGGGTCATCACCACACCACAAACCCCGCGCTCGCAGGTGGAACCATTTGCGCCACCATCTTGCCACAAAGCCCACATGTTCTTCTCTTGCTATCCTCGTGCCGCAACTGTCAAACCCACACTCCAGTTCATCAAACACAGTGTTGGATACACCTCCCGCAACTGATGTACCTCCAGCAACCGAGTCGCTTCTGAGTGTTCATGGCACAATCCCATAGTTGCGTCGTACCATCCCTGACTTTCTCATCACGTACAGTATTATTTCGACACAGATGGCTTCACATCGCGCTTCGAAAACGCCCTGCGGCAGGGCGCGGTCGCCGCGTTTGGCGATTGATTTGCTCAGGCAGAGGCTAAAAGCGGATTCATTGAGACCGGTATTTAGATGTTTTCAAGCTTCCCTTCAATAATCACCTGCAGCGTCGTCCCTCCTCTCGAAGCCGTAGTCACCGTATTGTGCCTCTCTAACCTCGCTGACGTACCGTCTTCAACGAGTTCATATCTCAACAAGGTCATCTTAATTGACACAATGAGGACTTCCATGAAGCTCCTGATCGTAGCGATTGTAGCTGTCCTCCTCGTCTCTGTTGGTGAGTAATCGTTCTCATTCAGCCGTAGACTAGATGAACCGCCAATGCTAATTCATCTTTTGTCTAGGCGAACTGCCGACCTCGCACTGGCTTCTGACCGTCATTGTAAAATCTCGTCTGGATCACCTTTTCTCGTGTCGCACATCAGTTATCGCTTCTCTTGTCTCCGTTCTGCGTTTTATGCGTGCCCTCCGTGCTCCCTTCTTCCAGCTCTTCCGACTATGGCCGCTTGTTCAGGAGAGTCGAGGACGGTGCGAATTACAGACACGTGCTCCGACTTGATTTTGAATTTGTACAAGAAGCAGGCTCAACTATTTGAGCAGCTTAACGGTTACAAGTGCGTTGAGCCCCTTCAGGTTGGCTCCACCTTGTGCTTGCCAAAATAAATCTGACGATAACAACACCAGACCAGAAGGTCCTTGCACAATAAACTGCTGTGGCAGCAGGCTGTTTAATAATAGACGTGTTCCTCCCTGCTTGTTGCAGCGTACTGTCATCAAATCTTGCTAGCACTGCAATTTGTCAATGCTGATGCTTTTATGAACCTGTTTAAAGCAGTGATATAGATTTTTCTATTCAATCTCATGCTCACGCATGTCTCTGGTAACGTTTGCAACAATCTGACATTTCACAAGCCATATCTGGAAGAATATTTAGTATGTACATGTTCTTGTATTGCGTACCTGTACCAATACCCATATAATTTATCTCCTTGGTACGCGTCGCAACCATTTTTTCCACAAATCTGATTCCGCCCCTTAGCCGCAGCAGCACCATCTCGGATGTCCCAGTTCCAGCCGAACGCATTCCTGTCAAAAATTGTTCCGTTCATCCTTTCATCGTTTGCAGTTCTCAACCTACGTTGCTTGGACGCACCTGCCTCCACCTCCCCTCTCCCATTGCGCTAGCTGAAATATGGCGTCTGTGCTAATCTGTCCGCTAAGGAGCTCAGGTTTCAATCTCGAAAACACTCTATCGTTTGCCGCTAATTTGTTGCTTAGTTCATATCTCTGACCACGCGTTCGCTCTTAATCAGGTTAGCTAGCTTGGAGCCAATAGGTCAGAGAGCATGACTACTCAGTTACGAACGCTCCTCGTGGCGCTGCTTGGAATTCTGATCTTACTTCAAGGTGTGTCCACAAATCACACGGTCGACTTGATGGTAATTTTTTGCTCCGAGCGCGTTAACAGGTTCCGCCTCCGTCTGGTGAACCCCGGCCGTTCCTGGGCGAATCTCGGCGTTTTAAATCGCACAAAACGGCCCGTTCCTTCTTGCATCCCGCGGCCTTATCACAAATTTCTCGCCGTGGAAGCAGGAAAACAAATACACCGCCTTCTTTCCTCCAATCTCCTTCCATCGCCACTCTTCCAATCAACCCCTCCCCTCCATAATCTCAGGTCCATTCACAGTGGCTGCTGCGAAACAACTCCCTATGCGGCCAAAACCCCCCCTTCCGCAAACGAACCTTCGAGGCCAGCCTCGACGAGAAAGCCCGCCGCCGGCGCCGCCAAGTGGCCCAATCGGAGGTTCGGGAGGGACGCGCTGCGCATCCGGGCGGACGTATCGCGTCCTGCCCACTGACAACTGCGTGCGCCTGTTTTACCTCTATTATAACAGAAGTCCTTCCATTTTCCGCTCTGCTAACGGGGGAAGTTGCGTTGATCCGATGAAAGTTGGCTCTTCGTTGTGTTTGCCTCCAAAATAGGCGTTTTGACTGCATGTTGCTTTGCGCCATGATTTGAGGACGTTGATGAGAATTCTCCCGCAAAAAGCATCCACTAGCTAATTAGAACAGTAACTTACGGTTCTAGTTGGCTAAAGATGGTTGACAAATAAATGCGGGAGATTTGCGAATGCTAGTTTGTCACCTACACTACGCTATAAGTACATTTTATCCGAGATAATTCTACATAATTTGTTTGTTCGTGTACACCAACGCACTGATAACGTAACATCTGAGATGGATGAAACGGGTACGTAGTGACACGAGGTGTTTCCGCAGCACTTTCCTGACCGTTGCCTTGTACGACTCACACTGCTCACGACGACGATAGGCCAATCGACACAGCACGTCGCACAGCGTCTCTCGTAAAAATCACATCCGATAGAAAACGGCCCCTCTCGTCGAATCAGCAAACACAATCGTGGTCACTGAGTCGCACACACGGTCTTGAGTTTTCCGTCACTCGTTCCCCGTGGCTGCCGCATTCCTCGGCTCTGTCGTCGCAGAGCGGCCCATCCATCCATCCATCCATCCAGCCGTCACCAAGAATGACCGCTTCACCTCACCGCCCCTACGAGCAAACCATTGAACGAACCCCTCGCCACAGCATCGTACAGCGGGCGGCGCACTGTTTGCTTTGCACGTAGCGAGATGTCTTCACGAAGGGGTGCGAGAACGGTAACCGGTCAATGAAGGTATGGCCTTTCCTATCGTAGAAGCAAGCTCTCTCTTGGAAGCAAGCAACGCGTACGTCGCTGGAAGTGCAGCAGTAATTGTGTCTGCCTCTCTTTGACTCGCATGGAAGGCATAGTCAGGACTCAGGCATGGAGCTGATGAGTCAGTGGAATAGAGTTTTCGTCTCATGCGCGTTGGGTTTCTTTCCGTAGCTTTTTCCCTTTTCATGCGCAGCGACCTTCTTTCTGACACGCACAAGTTGCAAAACATAAGCAGGCCAGATCGGTTAGCGTAAGGTTAACGAGCTATAGTTGACGCGTGCCTTTTCAAACCGTTCTTGTCCAGCGGCACTACAGTAATTGCCAGAAATGGCGACTTTAACGCCAGGTGGCACGTTTTCAGCAGCTGCGAGTGCCACGTCAGCGCGCGTGGTGGTGGGAATCGAGGGCATGACGTGTTCGGCGTGTTCGACCGCCGTGGAAACCGCTCTCTCGAGATTGCCGGGAGTCGCGACCGCTGCCGTCGCGCTGCTGCAGAACCAAGCGCAAATCACGTTCGACCCCGCTATAGTCAACGAGAACGAGATAGTCACCGCCGTAGAAGACGCCGGGTTCGACGCGAAAATAATATCCCTGTCACGACCATCCGCCCGTGCCTTCCCCGCTGCAGCTAACCCAGTTGGCGTTACCTGTGCTTCGTTGGTTGACCCTACCTCATCGTGTGGCGTAGCAGCGGCAGTATCAGCGGCGGCGACGGATTCGGCGCCATCTGCGACGACGGCGCCTTCCACGTCGGCAGCCTCCGTCCCTGCCACGTCAGCGCGCGTGGTGGTGGGAATCGAGGGCATGACGTGTTCGGCATGTTCGACCGCCGTGGAAACCGCTCTCTCGAGATTGCCGGGAGTGACGACCGCCGCAGTCGCGCTGTTGCAGAACCAAGCTCAGATCACGTTCGACCCCGCTATCGTCAACGAGAACGAGATAGTCACCGCCGTAGAAGACGCCGGGTTCGACGCTAGAATCATCTCCCTCTCGCGACCGTCACAACCCTCGCGGCCGGCAGGAAACGGGCTTTTTTTGTCCAACGCTCATGCTGATCCGGTTCTGCTTCCGGAGAATGCGGTCTCGAACTTGGTCTCGAGTGCGGTCACCCCGTCTAATCCCCTTCTTGCCTCCTCGCAACCCTTTGATATTTCGCAATCCGGACAGCCGCTATTCGCAGCAGCAGCAGCAGCAGCAGCAGCAGCAGCAGCGGCACCGGCAACGGGTCCGTCGCAAAATGCAGCATTTTCCGGTCCGCATTCGCCGGGCGTTGTGACAGTGCGAGTGCGAATAACCGGCATGACCTGCGCCGCGTGCGTTACGGCGGTTACCACCGCCGTCCAATCCGCGAACGGCGTGCGACGCGTCTCCGTCGCCCTCGCCACCGAGACCGCGGAAATCGCGTTCGACTCCGCGATTCTCGGCGTGAGAGACGCGCTGCGATTGGTGGAAGACGCCGGGTTCGACGCCGCGATTCTCGGCACGGATAGCGGGAGCGACAGGCTGAGCGTGACTGTAACGGGGATGGGTGGCAGGGATGACGTGGCAGCTACGGTCGAAGTAGCGGTATTATCATTGGCGGGAGTTAGGGAGGTCAGTGTAGATTCTAGGAGCGGATGGGTGGAGGTAGAATACGACCCGGAAATCACGGGGATTAGGGACGTGGTGGGAGCTATAGAGGCGATTAGTCTGGTGGGGTTGGGGTTGGGTGGGGAGGAGGAAGGGGAGGAGGAGGATGATTGGTTGGCGGAAGATGGGGAGGAGGGGAAGGGGGAGGAGGAAGGTGGTGAGAGGAGACATGGGAAAGGGAGTGAGGGAGATGAAGAGGGAGGGATGGAGGAGGGAGGGGAGGAGGAAGGAGGGGAGGAAGAGGAGAGGGCGAAGCTAGTTGGGCGAGGGAAGAAGAGGGGCCCGTGGGCGGAACGGGCCCATGCACTCCTGAAGCTAGTGTCAAGAACTGTTAAAACGGGGACAGCGAGGAACGGGGACCGGAGGAAGGAGGGGGGAGAAGAAGGGTTGGGGAGCGATGGGCCCGCAGAGAAGGTCAGCAGGGGACGAGAAGACAGGATGGAGGAGCGGAGGGCAGAGGGGAGAGGAGGAAAGAAAGCTCACTCCCATGGGCTACGCGTTGCCCTGCCTAGCATGCTCGGCTCCTACCGCCCCGATCGCTCCTCCGAACTCCACTCCCTCACGCGCCAGTTCTCCCTCTCGCTCCTCTTCGCTGTCCCCCTCTTTCTCCTCAACCTCGCCTCCCACTCCCGCCTCCTCTCCCGCCTCCTCTCCCTCCCCTTCCTCCACGTCACGCTCATCCAATGGCTGAAGCTGCTCCTCGCGACCCCCGTGCAGTTCCATCTGGGCCGTCGATTCTACATCGCAGGGTTCAGATCGCTCCGCCACGGCAGCGCGAATATGGACGTGCTGGTCGCCCTCGGGACCTCCGCGGCCTATGGCTACTCTCTGCTGACCCTCGCGGTGCAGATCGGTTCTGGGCGGTACCTGGGCCACGATTTCTTCGAAACGTCTGTGATGCTGATAGTGTTTATTCTAGGGGGAAAGTATCTCGAGGCCGTGGCGAAGGGGAAAACGTCTGAAGCGATCCAGAAGCTGCTGCAGCTGGCGCCAGCAACGGCCGTGCTGGTGGACGTGAATGCAGGTATGCTGCTCGTGCCTTTGGGGGGTTAGATACGCCCATGCAGGTGCGCTTGGGCTGATTGCTGATCGTGTTTATCCTGGGGGGGGGGGGGGGGTTCTTTGGAGGCTGTGGCGGGTGGCAGAGAGGGAGGTAGACTTGCGGCTGCTGCAGAGGAGAGGACCTGCTGCGAGTGCTGCTGCTTGGCATGTCTCAACTCTCTCCCTCTCTATGTCTCCCATGCGCCCCTTCTCTGCCCTTCTCCTCGCCTCGTCCCTCCAGACGGCAAAGTGGTGGCAGAGAGAGAAGTTGACTCGCGGCTGCTGCAGAGAGGGGATGTGCTGCGAGTGCTGCCCGGGGCGAGGGTGCCAACAGACGGTGTGATTGTAACGGGTGAGTGGCTGGCTGGGGAGTGAAAAGGTAGCAGCAGTGAGAAGGGGAGGTGTGCTGCGAGTGATTGCTGATGTTTGGTTGCCCGGGGCGAGAGTGCCCACAGATGGTGTGATTGTAACGAGTGAGTGGAGGAGAGCTATGTAAGTGGTTCACAGGCGAGTCAGCACCAGTGGCCAAGGGGCCGTGCTGCAATCCCCTGAGTCCACTTCCCCGCTTCTCCTTTATTCCGCCTCTTATCCTTCCCCCCTCTCTCCCCCCAGGCACCACGCACGTGAACGAGTCCATGCTCACAGGCGAGTCAGCGCCGGTGGCCAATGGGCCGTGCTGCTGACTCAACTCTCCCACTTGCTTACTCATTCCTCCCCACCCTCCTTGTACCCTTCTTCTTCCCCCCCCCCAGGCACCACCCACGTGAACGAGACCATGCTCACGGGCGAGTCAGCGCCAGTGGCCTAGGGGGTGTGTTACTTCAACCCCCCCTACTCTTTCCCCCCCTATCCTTCCCCCCCCACCCAGGCACCACCCATGTGAACGAGGCCATGCCCACGGGCGAGTCAGCACCAGTGGCCAAGGGGCCGTGTGACAATACTCTGAGACAAATTCCCCTCGTATCCTCCCCCCTCCCGTCCCTCCCTCCCACCCCACCCAGGCACCACCCACGTGAACGAGGCCATGCTCACGGGGGAGTCAGCACCAGTGGCCAAGGGGCCGGGGTCGCGTCTTCTGGGCGGCACTGTCAACCTGTCGGCTGGCGTGCTGCTGCGAGCGACACAGGTGGGTGGGTGTTGTGTTGTGTTGTTATTGTGGTGTGTTGTGGCTTGGGGCTAACAGGTTGTCAGTGGGACAGCCCTTGTCGCTTGTTGAATCCGCGCATCTCAACACCATCCACAACTCCGCCCTCTCTCCCGCCTCCCTCCGTCTCCCTGTGTCTGGGTGTGCGCCTTCCCATCTGTCCCCCCATGCTCACACCAACAGGTGGGCAGCGAGACAGCTCTGGCGCAGATAGTGGCGCTGGTGGAATCGGCGCAGCTCAGCAAGGCGCCCATCCAGAAGTGAAGCCTCACTGTCCCTCCTCCCTCCATCCCCTTGCCACCCACCTGTCCCCCCATCTGTCCCCCCATCTGTCCCTAACAGGTGGGCAGCGAAACGGCTCTGGCGCAGATAGTGGCACTGATGGAGTCGGTGCAGCTCAGCAAGGCGCCCATTCAGAAGCCCGCCCTCTCTCCCGCCTCCCTCCGCGTCCCTGTCTTGCCTTACCTTCTGTCCCCACATGCGCGGTTTAACAGGTGGGCAGCGAAACGGCTCTGGCGCAGATAGTGGCGCTGGTGGAGTCGGCACAGCTCAGCAAGGCGCCCATCCAGAAGTCTGCTCTCTGCCTGCTGTCCCCTGTCTTGCTGTGCCCCTTCCCTCGTCCCAATCCCTGCCATGCGTGTTAATAGGTGGGCAGCGAAACCGCTCTGGCGCAGATAGTGGCCCTTGTCGAGTCAGCACAGCTCAGCAAGGCGCCCATTCAGAAGTTTGCCGACCGTGTTGCAGCGGTGTTTGTGCCCGTGGTGGTGGTTCTTTCAGCGTGCACGTGGCTTTGCTGGTTCATGGCTGGGAGCATGGGGTGCATTTCATCCGCCATGCTTCCTCCGGGGGTAGACTCGCAGTTCACCCTCCCGCTCCTCTTCGCTATCGCCGTACTCGTTATAGCGTGCCCCTGCGCCCTCGGATTAGCCACGCCCACGGCAGTCATGGTCGCAACAGGCGTGGGCGCGGCACAGGGTGTGCTTATAAAGGGGGGAGAGGCGCTAGAAGCAGCACATAAAGTCACATGCGTGGCCTTTGATAAGACGGGGACGCTGACGGTGGGGAAACCGAGGGTGGTGGCAGTGGTGCCTTATGTTGGTGATACCGAGTGTTCTACTAACGAGGAGTGTGATAATGAGGCCATATCTCAATCCGATCTGCTTTCCCTAGCAGCGGCAGCCGAGGCAAATTCCGAGCACCCGCTCGGGCGGGCGATTTTGGACTATGCGCAGCACTATTTTGTCTTTTCCGGGGAAGGTTTCGCCGGGGACGAGACTACGACTCCTTTCTCCTCCTCCCCCTCCTCCTCCTGCTCCTCTCTCTCCCCTTCTGCTGCGTCGTCTCTCAAACCCTCCAAGGATATGAGCTGGATGAAAGAAGCAACAGAGTGTGAGGTGCTGGCAGGGATGGGGATCCGCTGCAGGGTGGACGGTCAGGTGGTTCTGGTGGGCAGCCGGCACCTGATGGAACACCTGGGCGTTCAGGTGCCTGCTCAGGTGGATCTTCTGTTGCAGGCGCAGGAGGAGGAGGCGCGGACAGGTGTCATTGTGGCAGTGGGCGGCAGGCGGGAGCGGGGCGAGGCGGAGGGGAGTGGGAGGGAGGAGGGGAGTGGAGGGAGGGAGGAGAGAGTGAGGGTGGTGGGGAGTGTGGTGATCAGTGATCCAGTGAGGAGGGAGGCTGCAGTGGTGGTGGAGGGGTTGAGGCGCATGGGGGTTCGCACGGTGATGATGACAGGGGACAACCGCCGCACTGCCCACGCCGTTGCTAGACAGGTGAGAGGGGCACACAGGTGTGGGCAGGTAAGACACTGTTCTTGTGCAGCAGTGGTGGTGGAGGGGTTGAGGCGCATGGGGGTGCGCGCTGTGATGATGACAGGGGACAACCGCCGCACTGCCCACGCCGTTGCTAGACAGGTGAGGGACGCACAGGTGAGGTACGGATGGGTGGGAGAGAGGTCAGAGAGATGAGGGTCTAAGGCACATGGGCGTGCGCAGTGTGATGATAGTTGCCGCACTGCCAATGCCGTGGCCAGACAGGTGAGGGATAAGCACAGGTGAGGTGGTGGGGGGGAGGTGGCCGGTCTTGACTTGCATGGGGGTGCGCGCAGAGATGATGACAGGGGATAGCCGCCGCACTGCCAATGCCGTGGCCAGACAGGTGAGACCCTGCATTTGCGTTTTCGAGGTTGTGTTAGTTGCTACCAGTGATCGGACGCAACCCATGCCTCCCACCATGCCTCATGCAATGACACACTGCCAATGCTGTCGCCCCCACCAGGTCACTGCAGAGGTGCTACTGCCCCTCCCTTGCTCTTTCCCTGTAGCAACAGCTTTTCTTTCCCGGCCCGTCCTTGACCCTCGTCCCTCCCCTCCCCACCCACCAGTTGGGCATCCACGAGGTGATAGCAAGAGGTGCTGCCGGCCCACAAGGCAGCCGCCATCCGTTCCCACACCTCTCCCGGTTCCCCCTCCCCTCTCCCACCCATCTCTCCTCACCCACTCCAGCTGGGCATCCACGAGGTGATAGCAGAGGTGCTACCGGCCCACAAGGCCGCCGCCATTCGCTCGCTGCAGATGACGCCTCCCCCACTCGACCCTGCGCTCGGCAGCAACAGAAGCTGCTGCGGGTGCTGGTGCTGGTGCTGGTTGATGTCTCGTGTGGGGCATGTGCTTGGCTGGGGCGATTCTGCCTGCTGCTCCACTTGTGCTGCTGCTGCCTCCTCTGCTGCTGCCGCTGTGGGTCTGAGTCGGAGTGAGAGCAAGACAGTGGTAGCGATGGTGGGGGATGGCATCAACGACGCACCGGCTCTGGCTGCAGCAGACGTGGGCATCGCTATTGGTGCCGGCACGGACGTTGCTATTGAGGCGGCGGATTTTGTCCTCATGCGGTCAAATTTGGAAGATGTGATTACTGCGCTGGATCTCGCGAGGAAGACGTTTTCGAGGATCAGATGGAATTATGTTTTCGCGATGGGGTATAATATCTTGTTGATTCCTTTGGCGGCGGGGGTGCTGTATCCGGTGTTTATGGTGCGGCTGCCGCCCTGGCTTGCCGGCGCAATGATGGCGCTTTCGTCTGTTAGCGTGGTGTGCTCGTCTCTTATGCTGCGGATGTACCGCCGCCCGAAGCTGCCGGAGCTGCTGTTTGGGAAGATGAAGAAAGCTGGGAGCTTCTGAGTCAGCAACGAGAAACAGGTGTTGGGAAGGGAGGAGGGTGAGGGGATGGTTTCTGCAGGCAGTGAGGAGAGGAGGGAGGGGAACGAAGGGGAGAGGAGGGGGGGGAGGGATCAACTGCTAGGAGCCAGCAGCAGCAGTGGGAGCTAGACTTGTACTTATTAGGTTTAGGCGTAACTCGTCCCGGGGTGGCTTGCATGTGGGTTGGAATGTAGGTTTATGGAGTGATCTTGGGTTTGTGAGACTCAACCTTGTGTGTTTGTCTGTTTAGGGTTTGGCTGATTTGTGTGAATAAATTACTGCTTGTGCAGCAGCGCTTGTTACATTAAATGCAGTGCTTGTGTGATTTGGGTGGACTTCTCACGGGTAAAAATAAGATAATGTGAATGCTGGTAAATGCTATGGTATAACGTTTCTATTTATACGTGCTTGTACCGGTATTTGGAGTGTACCGCTACTAGGTTAGTGTTAGGCCCCTTGGCCTAAATCCGCTAAGGAATAGCGGGGCTGACTAAATTGAGGATAAACGCGGCGGAAGACTTTGGCGAAAGAGAGTGTTGGCGAAATAGGCGAAGAGGTAACTGAGTAATTGAAGAGTTGAATGAGAATTGATTGATATGAGGGAATACAAGCAAGGTTGATATAGCATGCAAGAGCAATTGTGGGAAAGTGGGTTGTGGGCAGGGCTGACGATATCAGACTATTTTAGTCTGATTGTCTGAAATTTCAGACTATTTTCGTGACATTCCTGATTTCTCAGAGTTGGCTGATTTTGAAAAATGAGTGCTTCAGACTAATGTTTTTTTCAATACTGAAAATTTCAGAGTCCTTGCTTGCCGGATAATGAGTTTTCATACTACAGAGTACAAACTCCCCTATGTCATTCCTCTTAGTTCGAGGAAAAGACATCCCTCGGGACTTGTGCAAACGACCCGTTCATAGTAAATCCTGCCGTAGTCTTATGGTAGTCACTGAATTCTAAAATTTTCAGAGTTATACTTCTCTGGTTCCTGAGAAATCAGAGTAATTTTTTTTTGGAAAATGGGCCTCAGACTAAAACAATTTGGGGGGCCAAAAAAATCAGACTGGTTTTATTTGAATAGTCAGCCCTGGTTGTGGGACTAGGAACTAGAAGGCAAAGAAAGTAGAGTGCCACGTGGCACTAGGAAATCCAAGAAGATAAGGATAAGGATGGGGTTGGGAGTTACTGTCAGAATCCCAACCACTAGACCATTGGGATAAAAGGGCTTGTTAAGTAGCGGGTCAGTGCGCCCATAACCCCCCAGGCCAACATGCCTGTAACCCTTCCCTAGGATCAATCGGGGATCACCAATGGACCTCTGACACCCCCCCGCACTGGGATGCCCGAAGTGCACACACTGGGATTCGAACCCGAGACCTTCGCTCTGATACCATGTCAGAATCCTAACCACTAGACCATTGGGATAAAAGGGCTTGTTAAGTAGCGGGTCAGTGCGCCCATAACCCCCCAGGCCAACATGCCTGTAACCCTTCCCTAGGATCAATCGGGGATCACCAATGGACCTCTGACAGTTACTGTGCAAAGTGAACAGTAAAACCCCCTGTAACACTACCCCCCTCCCAAGGAGGCGACGTCCGCGGCGCCTGCAGACTAAGGTACGCTTGAAGGCAAGCGTTGTCGGGAGACAGCGAGGACAAAGGAACCCAGCTGTCGTCGGCTGCATCGTAACCACGCCAACGAACCAAGAAGTCGATGAAAGAGACACCCCCATGGAGACGGCGTCGGTGCCTGAGGATGCGCTGGATCTGGTAGTCGGGCTCGTCGGTGTCAACAGCTACCGGCAGTGGATTGCGATCACGGCGCGAGAAGGTGGCGTTGGGATCGGTGTATGGACGAAGAAGAGACACGTGGAATGACGGGTGCATGCGGAAATGAGCGGGAAGGCGGAGGCGGTATGCAACTGGACCTAGTGCGTGCTCAATGACGAATGGACCAATGAAACGAGGGCGAAGCTTGCTGTCCTGTGGCAGTCGGAGGTTGCGGCTGTCGAGAAGGACACGGTCGCCAACTGAAAACGACACATCACGACGACTGCGGTTGGTGGTGCGTGCCATGCGTGCATTTGCGAGCTCAAGGTGCAAGATGGCGTCGTGACCCCTAACTGTGCGCGGTAAAGCCATGATGAAGTCAATCGTAACTACCTGCCAAGGGCGGTCGGGTGGTGGAATCGGCTGCAAAAGTCCTGCCTTGCGCTGGCGAGAGGACTTCGTACGCTGACACGTGTCGCACGAGCGAATGTAATCCTCTACGTCTGCTGCAAGCCCTGGCCAGAAGTACGTGCGACTAAGCGTCTTAGCCGTCTTATCTGCTCCGAAGTGACCTGCACTAACTACGTCGTGTGCCTCGGAAAGAAGGAGCTGTCGAAGAGGGCGGTAGGCAGGAACCCAAATCCGTGTGGTACCCTTCCGTATGTAGACACTACCCTGCACCTCTGCTCCTGCGGGCGGCTGTGGTGTGAAGTCGGGATCTACTGTGTAACCGTGCTCGAAGAGTGCTGTGAGAAGTGGATGGCCGGCAGTGACTGTGAGGCTAGCGAGCTGGCAACTAGGGCGAGTGAGCGGATCTGCTGGGTTGCGAACGCCTGCCTTGTACTCTATCCTGTAGTGAAAACTCCCCTCCATGAACTCCATCCATCTAGCCTGGCGACGACTCAGCTGTGGCTGCGACTTGAGGAAACGAAGCGAGCAATGGTCCGTGCGTATAACACTATCTGCCCCCTCTAGGTAGCACCTCCACACCTTATACGCATGGATGATCGCGAGCGCCTCCTTGTCGTGTATGGGATAGTTCAACTCCGCTCCCCTAAGCTTACGCGACTCGTACGCGATCGGCTGCAACCCGCGTCCCTGGTCCTGAAGAAGCACTGCTCCTATGGCCCGATCTGAAGCGTCGGTCACTACAACGTACGGGCGAGTGGGATCAGGGTACGACAGTGTCGGTGAAGACGTGAGCGACTGCTTCATCTGCTCGAACGCCTGCTGCTGCGCTGGACCCCAATCGAAATCTACGCCCTTCCGAAGTAGGTCGGTGAGTGAACTAGCGATCGATGCGTAACCCTGAACGAAACGACGGTAGTAATTGGCAAATCCGAGAAAGCTTTGCAACTCCTTGACTGAGGTCGGTGCTACCCAATCCTGTACTGCTGCGATCTTCTTCGGGTCGGTCCTAATGCCACTAGCGGATACGACATGGCCTAGAAACTCGACCTCTGGAAGGAAGAACTCGCACTTCGACTGCTTCGCGTACAACTGCTCCCTCCGTAAGACCTCGAAGACCTTCTGCAAGTGCTGCACGTGCTCCTCTTTCGTCTTTGAGAAGATCAAGATGTCGTCTAGGTAAACCACGACGAACGAACCTAGGTACTCGGAGAGGACAGTGTTCATGAGCGTCTGAAACGTCGCTGGGGCGTTGGTCAAACCGAACGGAAGAACCCTAAACTCGTACAACCCCTGCTTCGTACGAAACGCCGTCTTGTGCTGGTCCTCTGGAACTACGCGAATCTGGTGGTAACCCGAACGGAGGTCGATCTTTGAGAAGACTCTAGCGCCCTGCACTGCATCGAGAAGATCCTCTACTCTCGGAACTGGGAATCTATTCTTGACGGTGGCGGCGTTCAGTGCGCGGTAATCTATGCACATCCGTAACCCTCCGTCTTTCTTAGGCGCGAAAAGGATCGGTGCTGCCCAAGGTGATCTAGATGGCTGTATGAAACCCTGCGCGAGAAAGTGCCTAACCTGCTGCGTCATCTCCTCTGTCTCCGCTGGACTCAACCTCCACTGCGGCTTCGCTACTGGCCTGCTTCCCGGCTCCAACTCTATCCGATGGTCTATTGCTCGGCTGGGAGGCAACCCTGGGGGCAACTCGTCGGGGAAGACGTCTGCGAACTCTGCTAACAGTGCACTCACCTCAGCAGGAAGAGTCGCCTTCTCACCAACTGCTGCACTCCCTCCTTTCCCCTCCTCAGCTTCCACCTCCTCAAGGAAAACCGCGAAAATCCGTGCCGCACGCTTCACCAGCTGCCGCACACGAACAGCATTGATGATAGCTGTGGATGATGTGGCCCCATCGCTCCACTGTGGCAGCTCCCGGAACTCCCCATCTACCTTGACGCTGCAGCTTCCCTGAGCCCAATCGAACTGAGTGTTAACCGTCCGTAGCCAATCCCTACCGAAGATGAAGTCGTAACCGTCCAGCGTCGCAGAATCGAAATCACGCCTAACCGTGATTGGTCCTAGCACTACGCGCAACTTGCGAATGACTGGTCCTATGTGAAGTGGCGTCCCATCTACCATGCGAGCGTCCTTGAAGTTGATTGCCGAATCTGCCTCGAGATGGAGACGACTAACTAATGAAGACGAAACGAACGAGTGGCTAGCTCCGCTATCGATGAGAATCTTGACTGGAACACCGCGAAGCTTCCCTAGAAGCACGACTGGACGATCAACAGTGTCTACCTCGTTCGGCGTAGATGACTGCTCTAAGGCCGTCTCCTCTACGTTGGTAGACGTGGCGGGTTCGGAAGCGTCCACACCAGCTAGCGACCCGCTACCTACTGGCGGTTTTCGTTTCCCTGCTGCCGCTCCTTAAGCTGTGGGCAGTCCCGCTTCATGTGTCCCGGCTTTTTGCAGTAGTGACAGTTCCCCCTAAATCCCGTTTTCTGTGAGCCGTCACTGTTAACTGCACCAATCTTCATGGGCGATAGTCCGTCCCTCGATCGAGTGTCGGTGATCGGTTTGTATCCCCTATCGCGATCGTCACGACCCCGTCGGCTTCGTACTGCGTCGACGCGTTCTGCTGCTGCGACTACCGACTCAAAGGTGGACAATCCGTGAATCGCTATGATCTCCGCTATGTCCGGCTTCAACCCTTCGAGGTAGCGATCGCGCATCTCTGCTTCCGTGATATCGTCTATCTCGTTGCAGATGCTGAAGAACCGTCGTGTGTACTCCTGGACGTTTCCTATATGTCGGAAATGACGCAGACGCTTCCTAGCAGCTTCGGAGGCATTCACCAAGTCGAACCTACTCTTCAGCTCCGCTTCAAATCCTTCCCATGTCGTCGGAACCGTGGTAACACCCAAAGCTAAACTCCCTAAGCTCGAAGTTGCAGCTGCATGCCCCTCGCCCTGTTGATGCCCGTCCAAATGAGCCCTCCTTATTGCAGTTTGCGTGAGTTGGCGCCACCACTCCAAGGCCGGGCCCCTCAGCAGCGTAACGGAGTACTCGATCCGCTGCTGCGCGTCCGCCTCTTGCACCCCGCTCGCGGCGAAGTAGTTGTTCAGCATGAAGATCCACGTCCGCACGTTGGGTCGAACGGCTCGGGCTTCTGCGGCTTGAGCGCGCTTCGACGTTCCGGCAGCGCTTCCGCGCCAGTCGACGTGTTGGGTGCAGGAGATGGTGCGGCATGACCAAGAGGAATTGACGCAAATTCACGAAGCTGTTGCATTTCAGCCCGTACCTGGCGATTTTCCAGCGTCAACGTTTCGAGTTGGCGCATGAGTTGAGCAAGCGTGTTGCCCATGTCGTTGGGGACAGCGGTCATGGTTTCATCCATGTCGGCTCGACGACTCCAAGTCTGCAAGTCGGCACCGCGGGACGATGACGTCGTAGTCTCGTCGTCGACGGTCGCTCGTTGGAAGTCGCTCCCCGCGAAGGCTCTTGATACCAAGTGTTAGGCCCCTTGGCCTAAATCCGCTAAGGAATAGCGGGGTTGACTAAATTGAGGATAAACGCGGCGGAAGACTTTGGCGAAAGAGAGTGTTGGCGAAATAGGCGAAGAGGTAACTGAGTAATTGAAGAGTTGAATGAGAATTGATTGATATGAGGGAATACAAGCAAGGTTGATATAGCATGCAAGAGCAATTGTGGGAAAGTGGGTTGTGGGACTAGGAACTAGAAGGCAAAGAAAGTAGAGTGCCACGTGGCACTAGGAAATCCAAGAAGATAAGGATAAGGATGGGGTTGGGAGTTACTGTGCAAAGTGAACAGTAAAACCCCCTGTAACATTAGGGTGATCTGTGAACCCAGGCTGACTCAGAACCCTAGACCATTGACGTGGCGCCGGTTCAGCTCGTGCCTTCCAAGAATCTCGAAAATACGTACGGATCTGGCGGATCACTCTCGTTTGCTTCTTATCGAATCACTTACTGAAACGACTCCTTGGGATATCCGCCGCATTCAACAGACTGGCAATAAAGCAGGAACCAGTCCGGAATCTAACCTGCGGGTGCTCCGAACGGTACCGCGGAGAGACACATTGAGCGCTTTTCGTGAGGAACACGAGGAGCAGTCGGTAAGGAATAAGGTTACTCATTCTGCATTGTGATCGACATGCTCAGAGGCTAGAATAGTCGCCGCAGGCTCAATTAATCTCCAAAAGCTAGCTAGATTAATCTCCGTCGAATCGTGTTTCCGCGGCGTTCTTGTAGGATTCTTCGGTCTCCTAAATTAAGCATGGCGGCAGCAGCACCGCTCCTGTCGGCGAGCGTAATCGCGCCCGATCGCCTCTCTCCGCGCGCCAATCTCCTCCGCGCGTCGTCCGCTTCCCCCTCCGTCGCCACTCCTTCCGCCAGCGTTCTAAATTCCAGCCAGTTCCGCGGGGAGGCGCTCCGCTTTCCGCCTTCCCCCCCTTTCCGCGCTCGCCTGCGCCCTGCCCACGTGCCTGTGCGCGCAGGGCCGGAGGGGGTGGTCGGGGGAAGCGGCGGAACGACGGAGGCGGATTGGCGGACGAAGGCGCGGCCAATCAAGCCTGGCGGGAATTATCCCGCCAAGGAGCACTGCAGGTGAGTGTGACTGTAACGAGGCCAGTGAAACACACACACACACACACACACACACACACACACACACACACACACACACACACACACACACACACACACACATACAGACACACACACACACACACACACACACACACACACACACACACACACACACACATACAGACACACACACACACACACACACACATACAGACACACACACACACACACACACACACACACACACACACACACACACACACACACATACAGGCACACACCCATGCATGCACGCATGTCCAACTCCCGTCTCCTCATACCGCCAACCCCCACGGTTGCCTTCTCTCCTCATTCGCACCCTTCCCGCCCTCCCCCTTGCGAATGTGACACCCCCCTTCCCATCTCCCCTCTCCTCCCCCCAGCCAGTGCGGGCTGTGTGACACAAATTACATCGAGCATGTGAAGGACGCACGTTTGCTCTCTCTCCCTTCACCATGTCTCCTCCATCCCTATCTCCCCATCTCCCCTCTCCTTCCCCCAGCCAGTGCGGCCTGTGTGACACGTACTACATCGCGCATGTGAAGGACGCGTGTGCCTTCCTCGGGGATGGCATGGGCAGGATCGAGGTGCGTGTTTCCCGCTGCATGCTGTGGGAATGGGTGGCATGTGACTGTGCGTGCGTGCCGTGTGCTGCCCTGTGTCAAGCTGTGCGCGCTGCGCCAACGCCCATGTGAAGGACGCATGTGCCTTCCTCGGGGATGGCATGGGCCGGATCGAGGTGCGTGCTATGTGCGGTGCGGTGCTAGATGTGCTGCTCTGCTGTATGTTCTGTGTCTTTGTGACTGTGCTGTTCTCAGTGCTTCCTGCTTTCTGCTCTGGGGTGTTTTTGAGAATTCTCAAAAACACCCTGCTAGATGTGCTGCTCTGCTGTATGTTCTGTGTCTTTGTGACTGTGCCCTGCTCAGTGCTTCCTGCTTTTTGCTCTGTACTGCACGCTGTGATGATGGGGACGAGTTCGCGTGTATTGAGGGGTTCGCGTGTATTGAGAGGTTCGCGTGTATTGAGGGGTTCGCGTGTATTGAGGGGTTCGCGTGTATTGAGGGGTTCGCGTGTATTGAGGGGTTCGCGTGTGCTGCCACCCCCCTTGCAGCCCATGGAAGCACGGGTGCACGGGAGAGGCAGGAGGGAGGGCGACGAGGACGAGTTACACTTCGGGGCGTGCTGTGACGTGAGGCCCTTCAAACTCCCTGTGTTCCCCCCTGTTGACTCTGTTGACTGTGTTGACCGCCACTTGCAGCCCATGGAAGCACAGGTGCACGGGCGGGGCAGGAGGGAGGGAGACGAGGACGAGTTTCACTTCGGGGTGCACCAGGAGATGCTCTATGCGCGCCGCACGCCCCCCCTGCCAGGTGAAACCAACAGAGACGTGACCTTCTGCCAGGTGAAAACAACAGAGATTGCGCCGCCGCTGCCAGGTGAAAGAACAGAGACAGCGCTTCAAGTGTGCGATAGTCCCAGTGCGCGTGCCATGTGAACACGCCCTCTTTAATCCCTCCCTGCTGCTAATCAGTGCCATGCAGTTGTGCAACATGCCCCCTCTCATTCTCATCCCACTCTACCCTCTCACTTCCCTCTTCTTTCCACTCACGCTTTCTCCTTGCCCTTGCCCTCTCGCTACCAGGAGCACAGTGGACGGGAGTGGTGACGGCCGTAGCGGTGGAGATGCTGAGGAGCGGCAAGGTGGACGCGGTGATATGCGTGCAGAGGTGGGTGTGTGAAGGCTGTGGTGCGTTGGGTGATGTATGACATGCACACACACGGTGCGTTGGGTGATGTATGACATGCACACACACGGTGCGTTGGGTGATGTATGACATGCACACACACGGTGCGTTGGGTGATGTATGACATGCACACACACGGTGCGTTGGGTGATGTATGACATGCACACACACGGTGCGTTGGGTGATGTATGACATGCACACACACGGTGCGTTGGGTGATGTATGACATGCACACACACGGTGCGTTGGGTGATGTATGACATGCACACACACGGTGCGTTGGGTGATGTATGACATGCACACACACGGTGCGTTGGGTGATGTATGACATGCACACACACGATGTATGACACACGGTGGTGGTGAGCACACACGGTGTATGGATGATGATTGTGCTGCATGTCATTGCCAGGGCGTGGTGACAGCGATTGCAGTGCACATGCTGCGGAGTGGCGGTGGATGCGGTGATATGTGAAGGAGACAGCTATAGCAGTGGAGGTGCAGAGGTGGGTGTGTGTGTGTGTGTGTGTGTGTGTGTGTGTGTGTGTGGGAAAGAGATGGTGATTTGTGGAGGGTGCGTGCACATGTGACCTTGTGCTTTGCCGCCGCGTGCTGGTGCTGTCAGAGGAAGGTGATGGGGGCAGTAGACATTCCAAGTCAACTCGACATCTCATCCCATCCCATCCCATCCTATCCCTCACCCCCACCCTCATTCTCCTCTTTGATCCCAGTGACCCGTCGGATCGTTTCGCCCCCCGCCCTGTACTGGCGAGGACAGAGGAGGAGGTGATGGCAGCCAGAGGGGTCAAGCCCACGCTCTCGCCCAACCTCAACACCCTCGCTCTTGTGGAGGTGTGTGGTGCTTGTGTTTGTGTTGTTTGTGCCGTGGTGCTTGTGACTCGATAGTATGTTGAGTCAAGCCCACGCTCTCGCCCAACCTCAACACCCTCGCTCTTGTGGAGGTGTGTGGTGCTTGTGTTTGTGTTGTTTGTGCCGTGGTGCTTGTGACTCGATAGTATGTTGAGTCAAGCCCACGCTCTCGCCCAACCTCAACACCCTCGCTCTTGTGGAGGTACGTGGTGCTTCCCTATAAGGTATTTTTGAGGCGCCTCAAAAAGTGGTGCTTCTCTTTTTGGTATTTTCCTCCAAAATGGGTGTGGTCGGTTGGTCCGCTCACTCTTCCTGGCTGTGCTGCTTGTGGAGTGGAGGTTTGAGAGGTGGTCAGAGTGTTGATGTGTGTGATGCGCTGAGTTGCATTTGAAAAGTGTGAAGCACTCCCAGCACATCACGATTCACACCCCCTCCCGCATCCACTCCCCCTTCCCATCCCCACTCGCTGTGCTGCAGGCAGCAGGGGTGAAGCGGTTGCTCTTCTGTGGCGTGGGCTGTCAGGTGCAGGGTGAGTGCAGTGCTGTGCAGTGCAGTGCGGTGCAGTGCGGTGCAGTGCGGTGTGAGTGTGTTACACGAGATGCGACTCGCTGCTCTCTGATCGCCTATGAGCCCACAACCCTCTGTGTGCGCCTCTGCCTGATCTCTCCTCGTCAGTAACTTGGCTTCTTGACAGTGGCTCCATTCTTGCTGTACCCAAGCGACTTTTGAGTCGACTCAAAAGTCACCTCGTTACCCATGCCAACCATGAGTGACTGTTCTGAGATTAGCAAATGCCGCGCCATTATAGCAGCGTCCCTGTGTCTCTGCCCCCTCTGGTCCCTTCTCTCCCTCTCTACCCTCGCCCACCTGACGGCGTTGACGACAATGGAGCAGTATTTAGGATTGGAGAAGCTTAGTGTGTCTTTGTGTGTATGTCCCCCCTATCCCCTCAGCCCACTCTGTGTGTCTCTCGCATTCCTCCCCTCCCCTCCCCTCCCCTCCCCTCCCCTCCCCTCCCTCCCCTCCCCTCCCCTCCCCTTCCCTCCCCTCCCCTCCCCTCCCCTCCCCTCCCCTCCCCTCCCCTCCCCTCCCCTTCCCTCCCCTTCCCTCCCCTCCCCTCCCCTCCCCTCCCCTCCCCTTCCCTCCCCTTCCCTCCCCTCCCCTCCCCTCCCCTCCCCTCCCCTCCCCTCTCCTCCCCTCCCCTCCCCTCCCCTCCCCTCCCCTCCCCTCCCTCCCTCCCTCCCTCCCCTCCCCTCCCCTCCCCTCCCCTTCCCTCCCCTCCCCTTCCCTCCCCTCCCCTCCCCTCCCCTCCCCTCCCCTCCCCTCCCCTCCCCTCCCCTCCCCTCCCCTCCCCTCCCCTCCCCTCCCCTTCCCTCCCCTCCCCTCCCCTCCCCTTCCCTCCCCTTCCCTCCCCTCCCCTCCCCTCCCCTCCCCTCCCCTCCCCTCCCCTCCCCTCCCCTCCCCTCCCCTCCCCTTCCCTCCCCTCCCCTCCCCTCCCCTCCCCTCCCCTCCCCTCCCCTCCCCTTCCCTCCCCTTCCCTCCCCTCCCCTCCCCTCCCCTCCCCTCCCCTCCCCTCCCCTCCCCTCCCCTCCCCTCCCCTCCCCTCCCCTCCCCTGGCAGCGCTAAGGGCAGTGGAGCAGCATCTAGGATTGGAGAAGCTGTACGTGCTCGGCACCAACTGCGGTGAGTCCTCTGTTCCTCTCCTCGTTGCCTTGGGCCCCTCTGCTCGCCCTTCGCCTTGCCTCCATCCCTCCGCTGAGGGCAGTGGAGCAGCATTTGGGATTGGAAGAGCTCTACGTGCTCGGCACCAACTGCGGTGAGTCCTGAGAAGCCGCCTTGCCACCTCCGCCTTGCCGCCTTCCCTCCGTTGAGGGCAGTGGAGCACCATTTAGGGTTGTAGAAGCTCTATGTGCTCAGCAGCAACTGCGGTGAGTCATTACTGCGGTGGGTTGTAGCCTCCTTCTTTCCTCCCTCCTTTCTCCCCCTTTCCTTTCCCCCCTCTTCCACCGTTCTTCCTCCCTCCTCGATCCTCTCTGTCACCTCTGTCTTGCCGCTTTTTGCCATCTCTCTTGGGTTTGCATGGTGCTCTGATGTTGTCTCACCAACCCTAAGCCCTCGTTCTCGTCCACCGCACACCACCGTGCACCATCCCACACCACCCCCCTCCACCGCAGTGGACAACGGTCCGCGAAAGGGCCTGGAGAAGTTCCTGAACGCTGCAAGTGACGATCCCGAGACAGTGCTGCACTACGAGTTCATGCAGGACTATAAGGTGTGCTACAGTATTAACAACTTTATCCTTTTTTATGTACAATACACAGTACAGTGCTGCACTACGAGTTCATGCAGGACTATAAGGTGCGTTGTTATACTTTATAATCCTATATTACTTATACAGTACAGTGCTGCACTAGGAGATCATGCAGGACTATAAGGTGCTACAGTACTGTATTGACAACATAATTGCCCCCATTTCTCGTTGCCCTACGAGTTCATGCAGGACTATAAGATGCTCCAGTGCTATATTACAATCGTTTAATTATAGTTTATAAGTCCTGTATTATTCATTTCAGTACAGTTCTGCACCACGAGTTCATCCAGGATCGTATTGTGCTCCAGCAGCAGTTTATTATTCATGTGCCCCCTCATCCTCCCCCTCCTGCCTCTCTCCCATCCCCCCATGCTGCCAGGTGCACATAAAGCATCTGGACGGTCGAATGGAAGAGGTGCGTTCTCCCTCCCATGCCTCTCCCTCCCATGCCTCTCCCTCCCATGCCTCTCCCTCCCATGCCTCTCCCTCCCATGCCTCTCCCTCCCATGCCTCTCCCTCCCATGCCTCTCCCTCCCATGCCTCTCCCTCCCATGCCTCTCCCTCCCATGCCTCTCCCTCCCATGCCTCTCCCTCCCATGCCTCTCCCTCCCATACCTCTCCCTCCCATGCCTCTCCCTCCCATACCTCTCCCTCCCATACCTGTCAAACGATCCTTTCGATGACCACACGAGTGCCTCTTGTTTCCACGCCTCTGCCTCTCAGTCCCACGCCTCTGCCTCTCAGTCCCACGCCTCTGGTTTTTTTTATTCTCGTTCTGCAACTGTTTATTCCTCAAGTAACGGTTTCCTGTCTCAGGCTGAGACTCTCAGCTGCTTTACGTCTCCCGCCGTTAAACCTGATTCCTCCTTGTTCCTTCTTCCTTGCTTCTTTCTCCGATCTTTTATCTCCCATCTCCTATCTCCCATCTCCCAACCTCAGGTGCCCTATTTCTGCCTGCCAGCATCAGACCTTAAAGACGTCATCGGACCTCCTACTTTTATACCACTCAATCACATGCCACTGCTGCCCATTGCTCATTTCTCGCTACTCATTTCCCGTTACCCATTGCTCCAGGTGCCGTATTTCTGCCTCCCAGCATCAGACCTTAAAGACGTCATCGCCCCTTCCTGCTACAGGTGAGTGCTCTCTGGTTAATCCAATGGGAGTCACTTTTTAGACTTATAAAAATGCACCCTCGTTAATCCTTTGCCATCTCATGTAATGTGATCACCCGTCGTATCACACCTAACACCACCTAACGTTAACCCCAATCATTTCAGAAATATTGTCCTTTCACATAGAATGCGATTTCTGTGGTCACATCACTCGTTTGTGCTCATCATGCCATGGTACGTTTGCCATGTTAGCATGTAAGCGTTGCCGTGGGGATCTGACTTCTGTTTCCTGTGCCTCGTCCCCGTCCTTCTCCTTCCCTCTCTCCCTCTCCCCCTTTGCTCCTCCTCTCCGTGTCTCCCTGAATCCGCATGTGCCAGCTGCTTTGACTACACCAATGGCCTCGCTGTAAGTCTCTTCTCCTTCCCCGCAAGTCCTCCTCTTCCCTTGCCGTGAACCATCTTTCCCACATGGACATGGTGATGGGTGCATGGAAGGTATTGCCCTTAGAGGTGACTCAAAAACCATCATCACCCCATCATCCCCCCCTCCCCATGCGGTGGGGTATATGGGAGTGCCCTCCCCTTATAAGCTCGTCGCCACTCCCTCCTCTTCCTCTCCCCTCTCCACTCTCCCCTTCCCCCCGTGTACACACAGGACATGGTGGTGGGGTACATGGGAGTGCACTCCAAGCTCATTGCCACCTTTCTCTTCTCTCTGCACCGTTCTCCACCCCCATCACATGCGCACAGGACATGGTGGTGGGGTACATGGGAGTGCCCAAGCAACAAGGCGTTGCCATGACCGACCATCTGCAGTACATCACAGTCAGGTGAACACCATGTCTTGCCCTCTACGCCCACTCCATCACTGGGGGAACATGGGAGTGCCCAAGCAGCAAGGGGTCGCCATGACCGATCACCTGCAGTACATCACTGTCAGGTGCACACCATGTCATCCCCTCTATACCCACTAACGCAACGCACCGTCAACCTCTAGGCCCTCGTTGCCATGACCGACCATCTGCAGTACATCACAGTCAGGTGAACACTATGTCTTACCCTCTAAGCCCACTCCATCACTGGGGGAACATGGGAGTGCCCAAGCAGCAAGGAGTTGCCATGACCGACCATCTGCAATGCATCACTGTCAGGTTAGCACCATGTGTTGCCCTCTATGCCCTCCTCTATGCCCTCCTCTATGCCCTCCTCTAATCCGTGAATGTTGATCCTTGAAGTTGCAATGCCTCACGATGGCCGACCATCTGCAGTATAGCATTCTCAGGTTGATATTAGGCCCTCCTTTATATGCCCTCCTTTATATGCCCTCCTTTATATGCCCACCTCTATGCCCACTCTATCACTGTTGATCCTTGAAGTTGCAATGCCTCACCATGGCCGACCATCTGCAGTATAGCATTCTCAGGTGCACCCCACTCCTACCACCATCATACCATTCTCCCTCCAGTTGCTTTTCACATCACACCACTCTCCTTCCCCGTCCACCTGAACTATATGCGGCTTCCCTGCCTGAATCAATACATCGGACCGTTTGAGAGGGGGGGAGATGCTAGATCTGATCTGCCCTCATCTGCACCCCACCTTCCCTGACCTCTCATACCATTCCCCCAATTCTTTTTTCACCATTGTTTTACCTGTCTTGCTCTGCAGGAACGAGAGGGGGCGGGAGATGCTAGATCTGATTCGCCCACAGCTGCAAGTCACGCCCACGGTCTCCTCGGTAATGCCTTCTTGATTGTCATGTCCGTTTGCACTGCTTGACCTATTTCGCGCACACCTTTACAGTCGACTCAAAGGGTGCCTGAATTGCCCACAACTCCAGACCACGCCACCAGTGACCACGCCATCAGTGACCACCCCAACAGTTTCCTAGGTAGAGCCTTAATACTACAAGGGACAAGCCCTTGTAACTTTTGAGTCGACTCAAAAGTCACCTCGTTACAATGGCACACGACACATCAACTCCAGGCCGCGCCAACAGTTTTCTCTGCAAAGCTTCAATACTACAAGGGACAAGCCCTTGTCCCTTGCAGTAAGGCCACTTTTCAATACTGCCTTTTAAGATGGGCAATGTTAGAATTGGCATGCTCTCGGCCTCGGCCACTCCTCGTTCACTCTCTTTCCTTTTCTCAAAGTCCTCTTCTCACCTCTCCTCTTTCCCCATCTTTCCTCCTGTCTCCTCCACTCCCCTCTTCTCTCCTTCCCCCTTCCCATCCCACCACGTGCAACCGTCGCTCACCTCTCGCCGCCCGTTTGTGATGGAGACGGTGAAAGAAGACGACAAGGCGACGGTGGGCAGGAAAAGGCTCATCCCTTTTGCTCCCCATCTCTATCAACCACGTGTCATGTTGTCACCAACAGGGAGATCGCCGCCCGTTCGTGATGGAGACGGTGAAAGCAGACGACAAGGCAACGGTGGGCACGGAGAGGCTCAACCCCGCACCCAGATTTGTCGGGAACATCATTGCTTTCCTGCTCGACCTGGTGAGTGGGTGCTTCGTCTTCAAAACATCGGCCTGATTGTGAGACTCATGCGGACCTGGTGGGCACTGAGAGGCTCAACTCAACCCCGCTCCCAGATTCGTGGGCAACATCATTGCCTTCCTGCTCGACCTGGTGGGTGTTATCAGCCTGACTAGCCCCCTCATAGTGACCTGGTGGGCACGGAGAGGATAAATCTTGCTCCCAGATTCGTTGGCCACATTATCGCCTTTCTGCTTGATCCCGTATCTCATTGCCTTTCTGTGTGTGAGGTGTCTTTTGATGCGCTTCAAAAACCGGGCGAGTCATTCCCTTTCCGCTTGTAGTATCTGATGGGTCATTGCCTTTCTGCTTCACCTACTGTCTCAACTGCCTCTCTTCCCCTCTTCCATCCCTTATGCCGTTCTGCATGTCTCCCCCGTCTACCTCCCCCATTTGCCTCCCCTGTGTGCCTCCCCTATGTGTCTGCACTACACACTCCACTGTCACTCTTCCCCTCTTCCTCCACCTATGCCTTTCTTCATGCCTCCGCCATGTGCCTATTGCTTCCCCCATGCATTCCACTCAGGTGGGTCCCAAGGGTCTAGAATTTGCGCGCTACTCACTGGACTACCACACCATACGCAACTATTTGCACGTGCATCGCGTGTGGGGGAAGGAAAGGTAAATGTGTTGTGTGTGGGCATGCCTTTCCCTTTTCAACCACCCTCCTCCTGTCCCCCTCCTTTTCCTCCCCCACCCCCCCCCTCACCCAACTCTTTTCTCCTCCTTTTGTTTTACTAGGCGGTGCAAATCCCGAAGTCGTTCCACTCATTTGGTCTCTCAATTGTGCTTTCTGTTGTGTTCATATCACCCAAACAGGGCGGAGCAACACATCCCCAAGTATGCTAAAGAGGTGGTCGCACGGTATAATAAGGATGGAGCTATTGATATGCTGCTGTCTGTGGGCAAAAAATAGAATTGCTGCAGCAAATTGCGAAGCATCAGAAGCTGTAAAGTGGTGTGTATTTACGGAAGTCTATGCTAAAATAGTGGAATTTGGAATGGAAGTGCAATTAACAACTTCACATGGAACGTGTATTTGTCGTGGAGACAACCTGTTGTGCTGTCGGATGGGCCCTTTGCTGCGTACATCTCGAAGCACGCCTGATTGGATGGTCTATCCGTCGTGGCAGTTCGTGTTCAACATCTTGACAAATCGGAAGGAAGTACCCGCCGCAGTGACTCACCACTGCGGCTCGAAGGGCCACGTGCACACCTTGGAGCAGCGCGATAGAGCCCACGAATCGAGTCGCGAGAAGAGCCGAGCTTTGCTTGCGTGGAATGGAGATCTCTGACGAGGTGTTTCTGCAAATCAGCTTGGTGCGCACCAGCGCGGAGCGGTGTAGTACCGGGTTTGGTTCGGAAGGTGCTGGGATGACGGGAACCCGGTACAACGCTCCGCAACGTTGCAAACCGTCCTGTATCCTTTGCGAGGCAACAAAGCAGCGAAGGGGAGAGGCAATGGGCAAGAAAGCTAGCAGTGCTTGTGCACGGCTCAAACTCGCGTTATAACACACAAGCAGGACAAAATTCGTTGTTTCAGGGTTGAAGCAGAGTTTAGGGTCCATCATTCCAGGTCTCTCTTGCATTTCTATTTCCGTGCGCCTCGTCACGTTTTCACGTCCTGATTTAGCTGTATCCGCTCGCTAGCGGAAGCGGAGTCTAACGAGCTGCAGGAGATTTGGATAATTGCATCACAATGGCGGCGGCATCGGCAGCATTGCAGGCTTCTGCTGCAGGTTCCACCTCCCTGGTTTGCAAATCAGCGTCCACGTCAGCCGTTGGAAATCTTTCATCTCACAGCTCATTCGTCCCTTCAAACCGCTCCCTGATCCCAGCTACCGCGCGTTCTACCAGATCTCGCAGCTCGCGATCCGCCAAACGCACCACGACCGTCCGATCTGCTCTCGCGCAAGAGTTCTCCGCCCTCGATCGCGTCGACATTCTTTCCGAAGCGCTTCCCTTCATCCAACGGTTCCAACGCAAGACCGTCGTTGTGAAGTATGGCGGCGCGGCGATGAAGGACCCGACGCTTAAAGAGGGTGTGATTAAAGACCTCGTGCTTCTATCTTGCGTCGGCTTGCGGCCCGTGCTTGTTCACGGAGGCGGACCGGAGATTAACACGTGGCTGACGCGGATAGGCATTGAGCCGAATTTCAAGAACGGACTGCGTGTAACTGACGGGCCTACTATGGAGGTGGTCGAGATGGTGCTTGTAGGGAAGGTGAATAAGTCGCTCGTGTCGCTTATCAATCGTGCCGGTGGCACCGCTGTGGGAATGTGCGGGAAGGACGGTCGCATGATCACCGCGCGACAGGCTAGCGCAGACCTGGGATTCGTTGGCGACATCTCGAGTATCGATACGACTGTCGTCAAAGGGCTGGTTCGTGACGGGATCATCCCCGTTATTGCAACGGTGGCGGCGGATTCTGAGGGGCAGGCTTATAACGTGAATGCGGACACGGCGGCTGGGGAAATTGCGGCGTCGCTGGGAGCGGAGAAGCTCATTCTGATGACGGACGTGCCGGGTGTGATGATCGACCCGAAGGACTTGGACAGGTGAGACCATGCGAGGTGAGACGTGTTGAATGAAGGACATCACAGCGAATTTGTTGGAAAATGACGCGCAAGGATGGGAATGGGACTAGTTGACACAGAACAGACAAAGCCACGTGGGTAAAGGTTGGGAAAACGGAATCCTGAAGAGTTGCAGGTTTGTTGGTGGCGATTGTTTTGTAAGGGGTTTGATCGTAGTAGTATTGTGTCCGCTGGGAGCAGGAATGTATGAAGGGATTGCGCTCAACCGTTTGCTCGCAACTAGGCACTTGATCCAACTGCCGAATGAAGTTGCCAGAATTCAACCAGAATCAAGCATTGCTGTGCTCTGTGGCATTCTGGGAACTGAACTAGACCTGAGTCACAGGGGTGGTGACAGGTGACATTGCACATCACAAGGTCATGGATTCCACCGTCTGTCGTCCCAATCTCACTCATCAATCCATGAACTGTCCCCTGACACCCGTTATTCAAACCTTTCCTGACCAATAACCTTTTGCTGCTGTTTTCTTTTACCCCTATTCTAAACCTTCACCGTCGATTCTTGGTGCCCTATGCAGTCTTGTGAAGGAGGTGGACATCAAGGGCATTCGCAAGCTGATAGCAGATGGCATTGTAAAGGGAGGCATGATTCCCAAGGTGGAGTGCTGCATCCGATCTCTCGCCCAGGGCGTGCATTCCACTGCCATTATTGACGGCCGCAAGCCACACTCGCTGCTGCTCGAGGTGCTTACAGATGAGGGTGCTGGCACCATGATCACCGGGTGATCAGAAGTACAATGTTTCATGTGAATTAATGTTTAGGCTTGCAAACTTGTTGGAAAATTTTATATGTATGCCTTATCCAAATACTAGGCGTATGCAGATGTGGCGTTTCATCATATCCTTTACCAAACTGTTTTATAAACGGTGGGACTGTTTGTATCGAAACGAGCACATTCCCCTTCTCCCATGCCTTCTCGAACCCCGCCTCAACCAAACCAGCACCAACATTTTCTCGGCCCGCACTCCATTCCTGCATCCCCGCAACCTCATATTTTCGCCATGGCTTCGGCCTTGAGAATCCCGCATGGGACAACTCATCTCTCCCGTACACTCAAAAGCTTCGGCCCAGCCTCGGCTGTTCCGAGACCTGCAGTAGTGTGTGCGGTTCGGCCCGAGAAATGGGACGCCGCCGTGTACGGGAAACTCTCGGAGCGTGCTATGAAGGAGCGGCTCCAGGCGGAGGGTTACAGTGTTACCCGTTATGTCTTCCCGCCTGGCACGGAGTTCCCGGAGCACACGCACGGCGTGCACAAGAAAGACAGCATCCTGTCGGGCCGCTTCTTGTTCCGCATGGGCGGCACAGATGTGATTTTAGAGGCGGCAAAATCCCGCGAGGCCAGACCCTCTCATAGTATTTCCCCCAAAAGTAAGGACATCCTGTGCTGCCGTTAGGACTCTGGAACCACCCGCCGCAGGGTGATAAAAATAAGGGACTCCTGTGCTGCTGCGTTGCCGTGAATGTACAGATCGAGCCTGGCCAACCGTTCAGCAGCCTCTGCGGAGTCGCAACCGCAACCGCAACTTTCCGCTTAAGCTAGAGCCCACACGCGCTGGCGGATGAGGTCTCTCTCCCACTGCGCCACGTCAGTGAACGCGAAATCCGGAAGGTGCTCGAATTGCGGCTGGTATGGGCTGTTCTTTGCCAAGTCGTACGTCGCGCCGCGGATGGCGTCCTTCTTGGGACCGCAGGGGCGGAGAGATGTAACGTGGTCGTACGCGCCGTTCAGGTCCACGCGCGGCTCGGCGAACCAGAACAGATACGCTATCACAGCTGCTGGAGACCGGCCGAGACCCGCGGTACAGTGCACGTAGACGGTTTTCCCTTCCGCGACGGCCTTTGCGATCACAGCAACCATCCTGGGAAGCTCATGGCGGAGCGAATTCGGATCGAAATCAACGGCTGGCCGGCGGTGATGCTCCACGTGGCGCTCCCTGCACCGTTTGACGATGGCGACCGGAGTTTGCGGCTGCGAGCCGACGATGATCTTAGGGTGTACTCGGGTGTAGTAAATTCCGAGCTCGTGGTGATACTCGTACGGATTCGCCATCTGTCGTTTCATCCGGTCGTTGTATTCGAGGGACGACGGCGCGACTTTCAGCTGGCGGTTCTGCTCCCGTTCGGTCATTGTGGGTGGGGCCTCACAGCGAATTGGTGAAGGTCGAGACGGCTTGGAGAGCCAGAATTGGGGAGTTAGGGTGCGTTGTTTGCTTGTGACGTGTTGCGACGGTAGCAGGATGATGGATTTTACGGGTGTCAGCGTGGAAGAACGAGCAAGTGCAGCAGCAGCCATTGCTTTCAGTTGTGATGGAAAAGAGATTGACACCAGGAAGTCTTGAGGAATTGCGGGATAAGAGGGAAACGGTCCTCCTATAATTCACTTGACGTTTCGATCACAGTTCCAGTCCAGGGAAGGTGGATGAACTTAGTGCAATCAGAAAGGTGCCAGCGAGCGACTGAGAGCAAGCAATGAGGCAGAATATCTCAACAAACCACGTGACTGAAATGAAGAAATGAATATCCGCGTTTTATACATGCGCCATGTCCTCTGTCCAACGGTAGGTTTCGGTTAGTGGTCTATGCGCCAAGTCCAGTGGAGTGGCCTCGTTCTCCCACTCTGCTGTTTGGTGCCACGCGCGGCTCAGCGTTCACTGCTTTCCCTGCCCTGCTCGGTTATTATTGGTGTGGTGTGGTGTGTGGTGTATGATGTGCTCGCTTATTATTGGTGTGGTGTGGTGTGTGGTGTATGATGTGTGGTGTGGTGCGGTTCCACGTGTGCGGTGTGTGGTCTGTGTCGTCGTTTCATTTGGAATTATTAATTTTCTTCCCAGGTCCCAGGTGTACACACACCCTCCGACAAGCCGCACCCCACCACAAACTCTTCCTGACGTGACAAAACATCTCGACCGCAATTCACAGGTCAGTCGAACAATTGCGGGACGTGGATTGGCTCTGTTGTGGGAAACGGAAATGGACCGGATAAGGTGCGACTCCATGACAAACGCTCACCTGCTCCAACAATCGCGCAACGTCAGCGCCTCTGCGATTCGCCGTCAGCGGGCCGCAGCTGTGACCAAGCCAACGTGGCGAGCACCAGAGAATGCTGGTGCATGGAGCAGTTGCCTAAAGCTGACGATGGCAGAGAAGGGCAATCAATGACGAGTTATTTCGCTGAGAAATACGGTGCCTGATCGGTAGCACCCTTAAGCGGGGTTAGTGAGCTTCTAGGCAGTTCCCGAGTCCCGCTTTGCACGTGTGACGGAAGTTTACTCAGTCCGACGTGGCTTACTCCGTGTAAGTCAGAATGGGCAAACGATCGCCCGGACACCCTACTCGGAGTACGACTCGAAGTTGCCATTCAGGAAGGTTCCTTAACTGGCAAACTTAGCTCCGCGGCAAACTCCACTAACCCTGGCTTTTTGGGAGAGTAAGCCTCGCTTACTCGGATTAAGCCCTCGAAGGGTGAACCCAACAGAACCGCAAAATTTACTTTTTTTGTTTTCAGGGAAGCCTTCAAATATCTTCAAATTTTTTCATTCCCCCAACTCCCAGTGGTTCTTGATGTTGTCATTTTCTGGCTAAGTTAGCCCTTTGTGGGAATTCGTTTTCTTGGTCACGAGTGGGGCAGTCTGGGCCGACCGCAACAGTGCGTTGAGGGAAATCGCGCGCATGACCCTCGCAACTTCCCTAAGCGGAGTTTCGAGGGCGTGCCGATCACCCCTCGGAGTTGGGAAACTTACAGGAGGAGAAGGGAAGCACCCACCGACACGTGCCCACACGTGTGTGCCAACGCGACCGGAGCGCACTCCGCTTAAAGGCGGGGTGCAACTTCTTAGGAACAGTTGGGGGACAAAAATGGCATGTGAGTAACTTGAATTCTATTGGACGAAAAAACTGGAAAACCAGAAGAGGACAAACTTCTCGGCTTTGAACTGCCTGGGTCAACCTCTTCCAAGCTATAATACTTTGAAGTTGAAGTTGATAGTTGGGCCACGGCTTTAAGGGCTACCGATCAGGGCCACGATCTCAACGAGTGTCCGAAAGTGGTTCTTCCGATTGCCTCCCGCAATTATGACGTGGACTAGCCCATCCAACCACAAGTCGGAGCAACTCCTGATGTGCGCATGCACGAACAGCTAGCACCTGAATCTAGAAGAAGCGAGCCCAGACCTTCACGAGGTTTGCGAGAGTGGAAGCGAATGGCGAGTAACAGGGTGGGTTACAAAGTGGGTAGTGAGGATTCTCTTATCGCATGCAATGGGTGTTTCCTTCTTACAAGCACACACTATTTCGAACGCATAAGAGTCCACAATATCAAAGGAGAGAATATGGCTCGTATTCCACCAATCTTCTATTGGTTTTTTTTTTTTTTTTTTTTACTTGGCGGGAAATCGGACACCTGCGCACGTCTTGCATCTTCACTTGCATCGGCAGGATCATGGAGTGTGGGCAAATTGTCCAACATTTGGGATGAAAGGTAAGGAAAGTAATATCACATAGAGGAAATGTCTCGATATAGACTTGTAAGAAATGGCATGGATTTCTGTGATGTCGCTGTTCACACCAGCCTAGTCCTGCCGACAAAGTAATTTGTCGTTTTTTGTTAACATCCCACCGACACCCACCAGACTTTTCTGTCAGTATGCAAACGCGTTTCGCATCACGTCTGTGTGATACTTGTGCAGAAGCTTGCCCTCGCGCGTCGCGATGTGCCAGAGGACGTCCCATCATCTTCTTCAAGACTCCATCGGACGGCTTGAAACAGGTCACAGTGAGGGAAATAGCGTGTGATTGGTGGGAAGTCTTCGGAACAGGCAGCTACGTTCCTTGTCGAGGGCTGTGCTGTGGTGTGGGAATTGATTGGGAAGATTGTCGGTTGAAGTACAGGGCAATTTATCTCGAGGTGCGGTGGAGGGACGGTGCGGAGGTGCGCCTTGCCTTGCCAAGAATTAGACGTTGGTCGGTGTCATTATTGTGTTCCACCCAGTGGCGGTATATCCGCCCGAACCAGCTCATTCCCCCTTCGCTTCCCCTGCGCAAGGAGTTGTACGTTTCCGCACTCATGCGCAGACAAATCTCCGCATCCGCCCGTGAATGCCCTCTCCTCATGCGAGTCAAACCCCAAATTTCCCATCCTTATGTTGTCGAACCGATTCAACCGAACCAGCCTCCAAGCCAGAACCTTCTTGCCTCGTCCCCGTGGCCTTGTCTGCATCCCATTGGACGAGCTAGTATTTTCGCTGAGTGCACGCCCACTCACCTCACCTCACCCCTCCTCTTCAGCAGCCGCCAACCGCTATTCGCAACGCGGAGCGGAACAATGCATGCATAGCCTCTGCTCTGCCTTCTCCCCTTCCCTCCCCTCCCCCCTTTTCCTCCCTGCGCGCAATCAGCCGCCCAGGGCAGCAGCACTCTGACTGGCGATCAGCCCGCATCCCCCCCGAAATTCCCCCGATTTGACTGCCTGACCACTGCGCCTCTCTTCCTCCCGTCAGTTTCCATTCCTGTCGCATCTGCTGCACCCCAGCCAAGCCTCCACTCCGCCCCACCATGAACCTTCCACCGTCAATTGCCGCCTCAAACCAGTCGGTACGCGGCTTCCTCCTCCCCCGTCCCTCCCCCTATCTCCCCTACTCGTTCCGCCTCGCGGAACTCCAACCATCCGTTGGTCGGTCCGTTCTTCATCCAGCTTCATATTCCTGAAACCCTTGCTCATCTTCAGTCC